AGGCTAGTGCTTGGAGGGCGACGTCCAGTGGTCCTCACAGGTCACGTAGACGCTTCTTGGGCTGACAACCAGGCTACGCAGCGGTCGTCACAGGGTTACACCTTCAGCCTTGGCTCCGGCTCTGTTTCGTGGCGGTCTACCCGCTCGTCTTCTGTTCTCGGCTCCAGCTGTGAGGCTGAGATCTACGCCGGGGCTATGGCTACACAAGAGCTACGCTGGGCTCACCTACCTACTGACTGACGTAGGAGAGCCGCCTCTTTCTCCTCCAGTTCTGTACGTAGACAACAAGGCCATGCTGGCCTTGTGTCGGGAGCACAGACTGGAGCACAAAACGAAGCACATTGCTCTTCGCTACTTCCTTGCTCGTGAGCTGCAGCAGCGTGGTCAGCTGCGCCTTGCTTACGTGGCCCCTGAGGCAAACACTGCTGATATCTTTACCAAGGCATTTCCGCCTTGTGATCATCAGCGCTTTTGTACGATGCTAGGTCTTGTGCCTACTTGGCCTCACTTGCTCACTTCTTGACCTTGCTTGTACTGTGATCTTTCTATACCTGCACTTGCTTGTTTACCTTTATAGATGATCTTGCATGTGAACTGGCCTTGTGGCCTTGCTCTTGTGCTCAGTTTGTTTGGTGACGTTGTGATCCACCCTGAGCTTGCTTTGCTTTGCTTGACTGGTCTTGTGACCTCTTGTTCTCCCCCACTTTACCTATGGGGGTGTGTGAAACTCATATGCTATAGTCTGTGTAGGCTGTAGTGGGGTAGACAATATGGGGTACAACACTTTTAGGTTTTCCTACTTGTACCCACCTGCTTGTTAGTTCATTCATTCCTCATTTCTTCACAGAAATCCCTTCGAAAACTACCGCGCTTCTGTTTCCGACCGCACAAAGCCCGTCCAGGAGTAGCGGACCTGCCAGCGCTGACGTGAAAGTTGCCACGTGGCCCAATCAGGCTTTCATGTGCTGGCAGGCAACTGCATTTCACACGAACCATCGAGAAGGGGCTGAAATGCCCTGCCAGCGCAGCATGTTCATGCCGAGATACCTTCCTTTCCGAGTTCAGATAGGGGGTACCCGTCTCTCCCCGACAAGGCGCTAACCAGAAGGGGTCCCTTTCAATCTCTCATTTGTTCTCTCGTTCTCTCAGTTTCTCGATTAATTTCTTGGTCACTCCCGCCTGGCTGCGGAAGCCATGGCACACACTTCTTGTTCAAGAAAAAATCTATACGAAGGCCCGCCTTTAGAGAAGACGCTGACGGGTTGTACTCCCGTATCCCACCAGAACCACCAGAGCCACCACAGCCTCCTGTGCCTCCTGCGCCACCTGCTCCTCCTGCGCCTCCTGTTCCTCCTGTTCCTCCGTGTACTCAGGGTCTGGTGCATCCGCAACACACTGGGAATCAGCCCATGCTCACGCTGCTGCTCCCATCGGCGTTTGACGAATACCTCTCCGAGCCAGATTCCAACAAGGCCCCAAATGAGTACGTGGGCGTGGAGTACGTGCCGGCAACACGTTGGGGATAGCCCGACGATTGCCCTTGGGACGAATCTGCAGTCGGCGCTGACGACGATGTGGCTAACGCTGAGAAAGCGAGTGGCGCTGACGGCGCCGAGGGTGGCAAGGAGGCTACCGCCGAGGGCGGCACCGCTGAAGATGTGTTTCCAGAAAATGTTACGAGCGACGATGACGACGACGGCGTAGAGTACTGGTCACGCGACGGGCTACCCGAGAAACTGCCCATACCATCCTATCCTCTGATTAATCGCAAGCGACCCCACCCCTCTTCACAGAACCGTGATGCCTGCCCCCCCTCTCTTAGGCACAAGGTCACCGACCACAAGCGTCAGGGTCATACCGTTGCGGAGAAGTTGAAGTGGGTTGCACTGCTTGATGTGGCGGTGTCGGTGCGCGCCTTGGCTTGTGAGAGTGGAATCCACCACAAATGCCTCACCAGGCGGAATTTCTCAAGGACGTCCACTCCGCTCGGAAGCGCATGCACGGCCGCGGGCGAGCGTCAAGGTACCGGCCGATGGAGCTGAAGGTGTACGGGAAGCTCCTCGACTGGCGCCCGCTGACTCGCAGGCGTGAATTGGTCAACCCCCCGATCTTGTAGATCAACTCCACTCACCAAGTTCGTAGAGAATGAGGGGAGGTAGAGACCTGAGAGGGTGCAAGAGGGAGCTGCCGGACACGGTAAGAGAGTGGAGAAGCTAGCAAGGACAGGATCCCCAAAGGGGTCCGCCAGGGAGACCGCAACCGGCCGACTAAGCGGCGTAAGCGTGGTGCGGTCTCGAAAGAAGGAGCGGGAAGCACCCGAGTCAAGGGTGAAGGTGTACAAGGCCTAAGCCGACGTGGTACCTGAGAGAGCAGACTCACAAGCACCTGGGGCAGCAGACGCACTAGCACCTAGAGCAGCAGCCTCACCAGCACCTGGGGCAGCAGACGCACTAGCACATAGAGCAGCAGCCTCACCAGCACCTAGAGCAGCAGCCCCAATGCTCGGGTCAGACAGAACACACAGGTAACAGTCACCCTCATCACTAGTAGGCAATGCATACATGGCAGTGAGGATAGCATCATAGTCAAGAGTATAGATATCTACCCTGAGGCGAAGCAGCTCCACCCAGTCGGGGAGCTCAGCCGCGTCGCCAAACTGCGTACGCCAGGCGTCGCTCAGACGGGCGAAGCAGCGGGACTCTGCGTGACCACGCGTCCCGCAAGTCTGACCCGTCCGAGCACCAGTGCGAATAACGTACGGACAGCGAGCAGTACCCCGCGACCCGTCACGCTGAGCATACCACTCACGAAGCTGTTGGGGCGAAAGGACCGCGCGCGGACGACACTGAAGCTGCGCCTGGCCACTACGAGCAGTTGCCGAACTACTTACTCCAGGACGACTCCCACTACGACCACCCCGACAACCCCAACTAGCGTACCACTCACGAAGCTGTTGGGGGGTGAGGGACTCATGCGGGCGACGCTGCAGCTGCACCTGGCCACTACAAGCAGTTGTGGACCTACTCACTCCAGGACGACTCCCACTACGGCCACCCCGACAACCCCAACTAGCGTACCACTCACGAAGCTGGTGGGGGGTGAGGGACTCACGCGGGCGACGCTGGAGCTGCATCTGGCCACGCCATGAGCAGCAGTAGCAGTAGAAAGAGCAGTAGCAGCAAGCGCAGTAGTAACAGTAGTACGGGTAGCGCAGTGCTCATCAGTGGCGAGAAGGGCAGGCGTACGACGGCGGCAACGGCGAGGCTGCTACCACTGTAGGGCGAGAGCTCCGCGGCAGCTGTAGGGGTGGCTGCTCCAAGGGCAGCTGCTCCAGGGGCGGCTTCTGCAGGGGCGGGTGCTCCAGGGGCGGCTGCTGCAGGGGTGGTTGCTCCAGGGGCGGTTGCTGCAGTGGCGGCTGCTCCAGGGGCGGCTGATGCAGTGGCGGCTGCTCCAGGGGCGGCTGCTGCAGTGGCGGCTGCTCCAGGGGCGGCCCGGCTGCTGGGCGGCTCGGTGGCTCGGCTGCTGGGCGGCTCGGCGGCTCGGCTGCTCGCTAGGGACGGTGACGGGGCCGGGTAGGGGCGGCAACAGGGCCGTTAGGGGCGGCGACCGGGCCGCGTAGGGAGGGGAGCGGCGACGGGGCCGCTAGGGGCGGCGACGGGGCTGCGTAGGGGCGGCGACGAGGCCGCGTAGGGGCGGCGAAGGGGCCGCGTAGGGAGGGAGGCGGCGACGGGGCCGCTAGGGGCGGCGACGGGGCCGCGTAGGGGCGGCGACAGGGCCGCGTAGGGAGGGAGGAGGCGACGGGGCCGCTAGGGGCGGCGACGGGGCCGCGTTGGGGCGGCGACGGGGCCGCTAGGGGCGGCGACGGGGCCGCGTAGGGGCGGCGACGGGGCCGCGTAGGGAGGTGAGCGGCGACGGGGCCGCTAGGGGCGGCGACGGGGTCGTGTAGGGGCGGCGACGGGGCCGCTAGGGGCGGCGACAGGGCCGCGTAGGGGCGGCGACGGGGCCGCGTAGGGAGGGGAGCGACGACGGGGCCGCTAGGGGCGGCGACGGGGCCTCCAGGGGCGGCGTCTGGGCCGCTAAGGGGCCGCGACGGGCCGCTAAGGGGCGCGACGACGGGGCCGTGAGAGGGGCCGTGAGGGGCCGCGAAAGGGGCCTCTAGGGGCCTGAGGAGGGCGCGACGGGCCGCTAAGGGCTAGGGACGCGACGGGAGGGAGGGCACACGGGGCGCGACTCGGGCAGGAGAGAAGCGCGCTCCGGGCAGAAAAAAAAATGTTAGTGGTGGGCCCTTAGGAAGCGTTCCCACTAGGGAACCTGCTCTATACCATGTGAGAATTGAGGAAGGAATGATTGCATCGAGCAGCATGAGGAGTACAAGTGGGAAACCTTAAAGTGTTGTACCCCATATGAGCTACCCCACTACAGCCTACACAGACTATAGCATATAAGTTTGACAGAATTGAACTTGAGCGATTGTAAAAATGAGAGAGGTGGGTGGGGGAAGAATGACCCCAACCCACAGTATATATTCGGAGAAGGCGAATAGCGTGCTTCGACGATGCTCAAAATTGCGTTACATCAGCTTCGCTTTCACAATACACAAATTTGAAAGCGATGAACGTTTAGAATTTTTTCATATACCTTTCGGTTATTCCAACATGAAACACACGGAAACTTCACGCCTTCACTTATTGCACTGTGTATCACCTACGTGACAATCTGCTGGAAACAGCAATTCAGCTGCCACCGGCTCTCTCTGAAACCTGAAACGATGAATTTCAAAACACTTATGGTATCTGGGTGGAGAGATGCTAGAGGCAGTACCGTCATCCTCTGCACCATAAAACGCATTTCCTGCCTAATATACTGTCCAGACTATGTTGAAAATGTGCGATGCTACCAGTATGAAAGGTTGTTTGAAGCAGCTTAGAGGAGCTGTCAAAGGAACTTGCCATCGAGGAGCTTTGATATTAGAGGAGCACTGCATGAGAGAGCAAGTGCGTCTAGTGCTCGGAGATCTGGCTGAAGCCTGCTCCGCCTGCCCTGCGACGGCGCATGATGAGCACCACTCCCAGCACGATCAGCACCACCACGAACAGACATCCGATCACTATGGCTGCTATCGCTGCACCCGAGAGGCCTGGGGAGGGAAAAAAGAGGGAGGGGAGGGGCGAGCACGCATGGGCATGGGCAGTGATGAGCACGGCTGCCCACACAGACACCACCACGAACAGACAGGCTATCACTATGGCTGCTATTGCTGCACCCGAGAGACCTGGTTTGGGAAGGGAGGGCAGGGAAAGGACGACAACAAGAGAGAGAGGAAGATGAGCTCGTGTTTGATAGCATGACGACAGGCAATCATTATCGCTGCACCCGAGAGGCCTGGTAGGGCGATCGGAGAAGGGTTTGGGTGGGATGGCTGGTGGAACTTAATCATCAGGGAAACAGCAAGACTAGGAGGAGCACTTCCGAGAGACAGGAAATCACTAGGGCTACTATTGCCACGGCAGAGGGGCTACTATTGCCACGGCAGAGGGGCTACTATTGCCACGGCAGAGGGGCTACTATTGCCACGGCAGAGGGGCTACTATTGCCACGGCAGAGGGGCTACTATTGCCACGGCAGAGGGGCTACTATTGCCACGGCAGAGGGGCTACTATTGCCACGGCAGAGGGGCTACTATTGCCACGGCAGAGGGGCTACTATTGCCACGGCAGAGGGGCTACTATTGCCACGGCAGAGGGGCTACTATTGCCACGGCAGAGGGGCTACTATTGCCACGGCAGAGGGGCTACTATTGCCACGGCAGAGGGGCTACTATTGCCACGGCAGAGGGGCTACTATTGCCACGGCAGAGGGGCTACTATTGCCACGGCAGAGGGGCTACTATTGCCACGGCAGAGGGGCTACTATTGCCACGGCAGAGGGGCTACTATTGCCACGGCAGAGGGGCTACTATTGCCACGGCAGAGTGGCTACTATTGCCACGGCAGAGTGGCTACTATTGCCACGGCAGAGGGGCTACTATTGCCACGGCAGAGGGGCTACTATTGCCACGGCAGAGGGGCTACTATTGCCACGGCAGAGGGGCATGGGCATGGAAGAGGAGAAGGGTGTGGTGGGAGGTAAGGGGTGGACGAACGTGGAGAAGAGAACAGAAGGAATGACGACCACATGAAAGTGCACGATGCAGGGGAATGGCGCAATCACAATGGTGGCCGCCTGCGCCATGGCAGCCAGGCTTCAGAAGGGCGGGGAGAGAAGGGGGAGGGGGGGGTTGGGGGGGGAGCTTGGAAGGGGCTTGAGGGGGCTTGGGTGGGGCTAGCTCATGCCTTGGATTGCACAGCTTCGCTCGGCTTGACTTGTGGAAGTCCTTTGCTTCATCTTCATACGTGTCGAGTTGCTTTGCTTACAGTCACGCCCACACTAGAGAGTTCTCAGTATTTTCGGTTTTTTTCTTCTTCTTTTTAACCTACCAGCCTCTCACGACCACACCCATACATGCTCGCATCCATCATGCGCATTCTCTCACCTGAGCTCTCCGTGGTCGTCTGCGGCACCACTTCAAACAGCTCCACACCGCTGATCACCGCTGGCAACCGGCTCCCGCCGACCGTCCGCACGCCAACCTCCAGATCCTCCCCGTAGTTGGACGAATACTGCGAGTAGTTGAAAAACACCGGCACCACCAGCGCCGTTAACGGAGCCACCTTAGCGCGGATGTCGAACCCGCCCGCCTGGTTACCAATGGACTTGACCACGTTCCCGCTGCCCAGCAGAATCTCGAACACACGATCGCCGGGCTGCGCGGACGGATCGAGCTCGACGAAATAAAATCGGATATACCACATGTTGTTCTTGTCCACTGGCAGCACCGTCATGCGAAACCCCGTCGCCTGCGACATTTGCGACGGTCGCCCGGCGACGCCGCTCGCGTTCGACAGGGGCGTCAGGGCAGCCCGGGACGTTTCGAAAACCGCCGGGGGGAGGTAGTCGGGTGCGACCCCCGTGCCGGCGATCGGTGCCGAGGTTGAATCTTTGGTTAGGACGGTGAAGTTGCCTTGCTCTGGCCGAACATCCTCCATCCACGTTCGGAAGCCCGGGTCTGCAGGTTCGGGCCCGACCTTGCCACCACCCATGTTGAGCCGAACGTACGTGGAGAGGATGACCTTGTTGCCGAGCGTCGCGGCGTCGTACGCGTCAGTGTCCTGCGGGAGGACTTCTAACGAGTTCACTATAGCGGGGCCGGGCGACCCGGGCTGCGCCTGGAAGCACACGGAGAGCTTCCCGTTCAGCGCGTACGCGATGTAGTCGGAGTAGTAGGCGCCGCTAACGAAGTTGGACTGTACGACGGTCATATCGACGCTCTCGACTACAGTGTTCTGCACGAGCACGCTGAAGTAGGGCGGCATGTTCTTATCGTCGTAATTGTAATACGCGAAGCTCACGCGCACGAGATAGCGGCCCTCAATAACGGGGATATTGTAGCAGCCGGTCGTGCCGACGGCAAACGCCCGGAGCGTCGACTCTACAGTGTTGAGCGAAAAGGAGTTGGCGGATGCGATGGTGTGCGATTCGCCGCCGTTGGAGTATTTGTCCCCCTGCCATTCCAAGCCGTTGGCCGACGTGGGGCTGTCCGAGCCGCAGTCGATGCGAAGCGGGGCTGTGGGTGAGGGAAGAGACGCGGAGAGGGCACGGGAAGGGATGGGAAGTTGGGTGAATGTAGGAAAAGGTAGAGGGCAGGGGAAGGCAAGAAAAAGAAGTGGGAAAGGGAACGTAGGAGAAGCCAGAGGAAGGTTCAAAGGAGTAACGCGGAATCGGGCGGCGGCATAGGTTGAGGCAAAACGCGGCATGAGGTGCGAAGGACCGACGTGCTACAGAGCGAGTGTAGAGACGATAGACGAAGAGATAGAGAGGCAAGGAGAATGGGTCGACTCAGAGGTAAGAATGGCACGATGATCAAATATCGATGAGCTGTAGCAGAACTTGGTTGGGTTGATTGTAGCGCACTGTGAGTTGGTGAAGTGACCAGGCAAGTCAATATGGATGACACAACGGAGTGACAGCATATTCGCACTAAGCATACACCCGGTGAATTATGAGTCGATTACAACATACGATAACCACACACCCGTACCGAAGAACTAAGTTGTTCAGCCATGGTACCTTGAGTGCTTCTGTAAGCTGCTGCAATCGTCGCCACGGAAAGGATTCCCAGCACCACGCTCAGAAGCCGCGGTCGGGTCATTCTGCCGCTCGACCCTCGACAGCTAGTGACAGTAACCTGAATAGCAAGCTTTCGCTTCTTTAGCCCCGCGAGGAGTAGGCGATCCAGACTGAAATGACCTCGTCGGGTCGAGAGAGCTTAGCAAGAAATATGCTGGATTAAGTTTGATCAAGCACAGGAGGTGTACAGGGATTGCATAGTCCGCTCGTCTCCGAGACGAATTCCAAAGAAGAAAGCAATGCCAGAAACAAATCGATGAATTTTATTCGACTAGCAAGCTAAGGACGATAGATACTCCTGATGCCCCACACGTCACTCTGGTTGCTTTCACACATGGAACACAATTCCGAGCCTCGAATCTGCTTGGGCTCCAAACCCGGAGGAGCCCGTGAGGGCCTGTTTAGGAAGAATGGGGCCTTCGAATACAGAGTCAGGAGTTGCCCGACTGAAGACCGATCGAAGTTCGAGACCAATTTCGTCAGCCTCTTAACGATCTCGACGAGCATTATTAGCTGGAGTCTCCACTCGCAATATATGACAATGGAGCCCAAACAAATGTGAACACGCCTTTAAATTAGGACATCTGCTTTGAAGGTAGGAAGTCAGCGCACGACAGCTGCGACTGTTCTTGGGAGCATCAGTCTCGGTTCTGACAGGGTAAGCGAATTGAACCTGCATGCGACGCCTCCTCCCGCCACAGTACGACCGCGTCGCCGAAGCCATACGTCAGTGTCGCCGTCAGTCAGCACAATGGCCGTCCAACCCAACGTATCGTGTGATGGTGCGTGATGCGTCAGAGTTTCGATCCGCTGCGAAGCGCTTCGTGATGCGATTCCCACATCGAAAGTGTCGGTTGTCTGACGTTTCACGGCTACAATTAGAGCGCAACACGCATATTGTGGTGCCTGCAGAGAAACTACAGTTATCGTAAAATGCCAGCATAAGTCTATATATTGTATATTTCTATATTTCTGTATCATTCAGACATCACAAGCAAAACACTGAATCAGGAATTCACACTACGTTCCCCAATCCATCAGTTCCAGGGCCATGTTGATGCATTTCGCCATTTAAAAGGGCATTGCATTGAAGACCCTGGAGTACCGTGGTTTGCATCCCCGTTCATTGCAGGACACGCGCTTGATTCCGGCTTGCCAATATAAGCAACTTTCGAGAGACGGTGAAGTGTTGACTCAGCATAGGCAGGCCCCTCAGTGTACTTGGGGTGCTCAAATAGAGGCACTCCTTTCCACCACAGGAGAAAGGCCTGATACAGGGGGATGGGGGGAGGAGGGGTGAGTGGCGAGTGAGGGAGGGGTGAGTGAGTGAGGGGTGAGTGGCGAGTGAGGGAGGGGTGAGTGAGTGAGGGGTGAGTGGCGAGTGAGGGAGGGGTGCGTGAGTGAGGGGTGAGTGGCGAGTGAGGGAGGGGTGAGTGAGTGAGGGGTGAACGAGTGGAGAAATATGAGAATAAGTGGGTTGATTTGAAGGCACGTGGATCAGTCTAGAGTCCAGACAGAATGCATGCAGCAAGTCATAGAAAACTTAAAGGAGAAGACATGCAAAACGGATTCACAGGAAACTTGCAGGAGAAGATATGCAAAACAGACGGAGGACGACGATGGTGAGCCATAAGCAAGGAGACGAGGCAGAACAGGCAACCCCCTTGCATGACTCATACGTCTCATAACACACACAAGATGCATTTTTGAGGTGCCACAAAAGCCCTCACATGTCCCATAACACACACAAGATGCAACCTGCACCAACGCACCTGCCCGTAGATCCAGAAGGCCCGCGGTGGGGCATGCAGCACAGCCACCAGCTACCTTCTTCCCGCCCTTGCTCTTCCTTTACCCCACCCCAACCCTTTCTGCCCCCGTCCTCCCCGAACACCTTCCCCCAACGCACCTGCCAGTAGATCCAAAAGGCCACGCGGTGGGGCATGCAGCAGACGAACCAGCTAACCCCTGCAAGCCAGGAGCCTTACACTCTCACCCCCTCCCAATCCAACCCCCCTCTTCCTCTACTCTCTCCGGCCTGCCCAACGCACCTGCCAGTAGATCCAGAAGGCCACGCGGTGCGGCATGCAGCACAGCCACCAGCGGCAGCGCACCTCCCTGCTCCACTCCGCTATGACCCCGTGCACCGAGGGTTGTTGGGCGGAGGACCGCGGGGGTGGGTGACATTGGGAGGGAGTGAGAGGGCGAGGCAGGGTGGGAACGGTGGGCAGGGAGGGGGGGAGGAGGTATGGCTGCTGCGCTGCAGGCAGGCAGTCAATGTCAAGACATGCCACGAATATGCTGCTGCCCATGCTATTGCCGCCATTGCTGATGCTGATATTCCTGCTGCTGCCACTGCCGTTGGTTTCCGCTGCGTCCTCCCCACCACTCCCTGCACCCCCTGTCTCTGCCTCCTTCTCATTCTCCTTGTGTGACTCCTGCGCTGCTGCAGCCTCCCTGCAACCCAGCACAGGGTGCAGAGCGGTGATGTGCAGTGAGATGCGGTGGGAGGGGGGCAGAGCGCGCATCACCCATGTCGATTGCATGTCCTGGGAAGGATGGGGGACGATTGAAGGTGGGACGGGGAATGTGGGACGGGGAATGTGGGACGATGTGGGAGGTGAGAGGGGGAATGGAGAATGGGAAATAGTGGGTGATATGGATAGGATGAAGAGTGTGAAGGCTGGAATGGGTATGGTAGAGGGGGGGGCAAAAGGCGGGTGAGGGGTGCGGGGATGGATGAGGAGGAGGATGAGGAAAAACGGAGAAGAAATGGCAGAAGCGGCAATGTGGGGCAGGTGAACGCTGATCTAAGCGAGGTGTGCTTGAGCACGTGGCCTGGCTGGAGACGTGCAGGGCTTGGGTACATGGTCAAGCGGAGGCGAATTTGACAGAACTGAACTGAACTGAAATTTCACTCGAAGTCTCACTGAACTGCAGTCCTCAACTTGAAACCTCAGCTCGAGTCAACGTTCTGTTGCTTGCAAGCTGACCATGAAGGGTCGGAGGTGACAGTGACTTTTGTGGTCTAGCAGGAGTGACTTTGAAACATTACATGAAAGCTCAGCTGGGGGGATTGGGGAGAAGGCGAGAAATCAAACCATGAAGGCGAGACGTGCAGCGGCTTGGGCACGTGGTCTTGCAGAGGTGAGTTTAAAGCCTCACTTGAAAGCTCAGACGAGGAGTTTGGGGAGAAGGCGAGGAAACGAACCATGAAGGGCGAGACGTGCAGCGGCTTGGGCACGTGGTCTAGCAGAGGGGCAAAGAGGAAGGTCACTCGATCGGTCCAGGGGGTGTTGGACACCTGGCGTGGTGGGGGTTGGGGTGTGGGGAGAAAATGGGGCACAGGGCCGGATAGGGTTGGGGATGAGAGAAGAGGACGGTGGTGAGGCACAGAGGAGGGTGACTCGGTCAGTCCAGGGGGTGTAGGACACCTGGCGTGGCGGTGGGGGGTTGGGGGGACAGGGAACGCGGGGAGGGCAAGAAAGGGGAAAGGGTTGGGGAGGAGGGAAAGAAGGGGGAAAGGGTTGGGGAGGAGGGCAAGGGATGGTGATGCGAAGAGGAAGGTGACTTGGTCAGTCCAGAGGAGTGCTGGTGGAGGGTTATGCAGTTGCATTGCAGGGAGACGGAAAAGAAATGGAAAAGATCGGGGGGAAGTGGAGGGGGGATCATGAAAGGTTGGGATGAGGGGCGAGGAGGAAGGTGAGTTAGTCGCCCCTCGGGGTGTGTTGGAGGCTGGGAAGACACAGGGTGGTGTGGTGAGGGGTGCGAGATCGGGGTGGAGGAGGACGGGATAAGAGCGGAAGGGAGGGCACACCGGGACGGGGAAAGGGAGGGGTTTGAGGAGGGGAGGTAGCAACAAGGATTCGTGTGATAAGCTCAGTGACTTGGTCAATCCACGAGGTATTGGACAGGTGGGGTGGGGTGGTGTGAGAGGGTGTGGATGAGCGAGATGCTAACTGGAATGGGGGAAGGATAGGGGAAGAGGCCGGGAATCACTTATGGGAATTCTCCTATAAGGAAAGAGGTCGGGAAAAAGGCAGCTCTTGCAGGGCAAACGCTGAGACGATGAAAAACACAGCAAGTGGCACCTTACCTCACCGCTCTGAACAGCAGTGCAGCGCACTGCATCTCACCTCGCCAATGCAGACTGCCAGAGAGTCAGCCGGGGGCAAAAGCGACTCCTCCTCACACTGCCCCTCCTCGCTCTTGCTGATACCATTAGTGGTGACCGTGACAGTGCCAGTGGTGGTGCTGCCGCAGCCACGGTAGCAGTAGTAGACGCTGATGGGGTTCTGCTCGTACCCCATGCTCGTTGGGTTGGTGAGTAGCAAGCTGTTTGGAAACACACACACAAGGGGGGTAAGGGGTTGTGGTGAGGAGGAGGGGGTAGTGTTGCAAGAGGGTCGCTACTCCATAGCAGTAGTAAATACTGATGGGGTTGTGCTCGTAACCCATGCTCGTTGGGTTGGTGAGTAGAAAGCTGAGAGCAGGGGGGTGCAGGAGCACGAGGGAAGGGGGTGGGTGTGGAGGAGGAAGAAAAGCTGTAATGGAGTGGTTGTTGGCGCTGATGGCGTTACTATCTAGCAGTAGTAGACACTGATGGTGTTCTGCTCATACAATTTAGGTTGGTGAGCCGTGACGAGGAAGCATGCACGAGGACGACGCAGATACAGGTACAGGGGGGCGTAAATGGGTTGAGAGGTGAGGAGGAGGAGGAGGAGGGGAAAATGTTGTGAGAGGTTCGTTTGTTACTAGTTAGCAGCAATGCACACTGATTGGGTTCTGCTCATAATCCATGCCCGTTCGGTTTGTCACCAGGAAGCTGAGCACAGGGGGACGCAGGAGCACAGGGGAGGTTTGACACAAGGGGACTCAGAGGGGGAGGGTTCAGGGCGTGCGTGAGACAGCGGCAGCAGTACGCAACGCACTGATGGAGTTGTGCTAGTAGTATGGTACCCCATGCTCCTTGGGTTGGTCAGTAGGGAGCTGACAAGAGGGAGACGCAGGAGCAAGGAGCGTGTTTGGTCTGGTGGATAATGGAAAGGGGGGGTAGAGGAGAAGAGGGTTCAGTTGAGGGCGTGTGAGTCCGTTGCAGACATGCATGGGCGATACGTTTACCCTATCATCAACTCACATCGGCCCATCGGTCCCCAGCGAACGGGCAAGCCTCGTTAACCCAGTGTCACCCCATCTTGCAGCCTCGTTAACCCAGTGTCACCCCATCTTGCAGCCGATAAAGTGATTTTGGTTGCATCATCTGCGATCTTATATTATTATCTTCAATGCACACTGCCCCACTCGTTACCAGCGAGCCTTGTCAGCCAACACGTGGCACTGCGCTGAGCTGGCGACAGCTGGACCACCCCTCCGGCCTCGCCTCCTCGTCGTCCTCACAGGCAAGTGTACAGTGCACACTCCAACCGACACATCTCATGGCAATGGTCAATCCAAATTTATGACACTTCATGGAACAAACAACTCTCATTGGCTCGTCCGCCCTAGCGAATGAGAGAGCCTCGCCACGCCAGGTAACAAGAGGTTGTACACTCCACTCCAAGTGACACGTATCAAAGATATGACATCCGCCGCCTCACTCATATGGTTCATCATCAGTCCCCCAGCCAATGAGCGAGCCTCGCTGAGACACGGGGGTGCAGTGCAGTGCAGTGCAGTGCAGTGCACCGTCCAGCCTCGCTGAGACAAGGGGGTGCAGTGCACCGTCCAGCCAGCACATATCGCCGGACCCCCTCTGCTCATCGCCCAACTCGTATTCCATCAGAGGGGGGGGGGGGGGGTCCATTCCATCAGTCCCCTCGGTCCCACCCCACCCCACCCCACCCCACCCCACCCCACCCCACCCCATGCCACCCTCGTCACCCGACATGTGGTGCCATCGCTGGACCCCCTGTAGCCTCGCTCCCTCGCTCCCTCGCCTCCTCGCCTCCTCGCCTCCTCGCCTCCTCGCCTTCTGGGGGAAGTGTGCACTCCAACTGAAACATATCAATCCCGTCCCACCTAATCCCACCCAATTGCACCCGGAATTATCTACAACCCAACCCAGCTCACATTGGTCCGTCCGTTCCGGCGAACGAGCGCGCCTCATCAGCCGACATGTGGTGCTCCGCGGACGACCGCGCGAACCAATCAGGAGGAGCGTCGAGGTTGACCAGCGCGTAGCGCACAGCGTAGTTAAAGCCGTGCCGCGTCGGGTGGCTCCTATGGTGCGCCACGTGGCCGCCGTACAGCAACAGCGACGGGTATTGCTGGCCAATGGCGTTGCATGATCGTTCATTGTCCTTTTGTGTCTCCTCGTTGGGACCGCCGGCGGCAGCGGCATCCGCGCTAAGGAGAGGATCGTGAGGGGATCCGTTACAGGAGTCGGAAGGCGATGCGGCGTTTGCGTTTGCCACGTGGAAGAGGGGCGAGAGAGGGGAAATGCAGAGCGACGCGGCGGACGCGGCGACTGATGCCACGTGGAGGAGGAAGGCGGAGAGGAGGAGATGAAACGAGCCGAGCAGCGCGCGCGCGGCGATGGAGAATGCGGAGAGCAGAAGCGCCGCGGCTTGCGCCGATAAGGGCGCTTGCGCCGCCGCTGACACGGGCAGTTGGGCCGCAGATATACGCGCTTGAGCCGCTAGCACGGGTGCGTGCGCCATGAGCGGGAGAATGGGGCGACTTGGAGGGGGCGGTCTGATCAAAACGACTTCAACGGCGACAATTGCATCAAGGGCGAGGATCAGCGGTGACGTTTTGCCTCATGCACGCGAGGAGAGGAGCAGCGGCGCGGCGGCACCAGGACCAGCAGCGGTACTTTAGGTGGCTACTGCATGGTATGTATGGAGTGGTTGGAGCGGGTGCCTGAGAGAGCTAGGTTGCTGTTCATAACCTTAATCAACCACTCAAACGTTTTAACGGAACCCTTTAAAAGTACATGAACCGTACCAAGGAGAAGCATTGCTGCAAAATAGTTTCTCGGAGAACTTCGCGTTGCTCTGAGGCCTCGGTAACGCGCGGTGATGAATTATCAAGGTTCGGTATTCATGTATTGTAGGCCAAAGTGTCACTGTAGCACATAAGCGAATATAGAAACATACTACTAGCATGTGAGTGATGTTTTTGTGCAACGCATGCTCCAATAAATTGTTCCTAGCCTCTATGGAGTACACACATAAAGCTCGTACATCACTACAAGGATGCCAGTACGCGCAACAGATAATGGTGAAAGCAGATGTCCTGTCCACACTCCACTATCTTGAGGGTGCATATTGTTGGAGTACACACACAAAGCTCGTACATCACTACAAGGATGCCAGTACGCGCAACAGAGAATGGTGAAAGCAGGTGTCCTGTCCACACTCCACTATCTCGAGGGTGCATATTGTTGGAGTACACACACAAAGCTCGTACATCACTACAAGGATGCCAGTACGCGCAACAGAGAATGGTGAAAGCAGGTGTCCTGTCCACACTCCACTATCTTGAGGGTGCATATTGTTGGAGTACACACACAAAGCTCGTACATCACTACAAGGATGCCAGTACGCGCAACAGAGAATGGTGAAAGCAGGTGTCCTGTCCACACTCCACTATCTTGAGGGTGCATATTGTTGGAGTACACACACAAAGCTCGTACATCACTACAAGGATGCCAGTACGCGCAACAGAGAATGGTGAAAGCAGGTGTCCTGTCCACACTCCACTATCTTGAGGGTGCATATTGTTGGAGTACACACACAAAGCTCGTACATCACTACAAGGATGCCAGTACGCGCAACAGAGAATGGTGAAAACAGGTGTCCTGTCCACACTCCACTATCTTGAGGGTGCATATTATTGGAGTACACACACAAAGCTCGTACATCACTACAAGGATGCCAATACGCGCAACAGAGAATGGTGAAAGCAGGTGTCCTGTTCACACTCCACTATCTTGAGGGTGCATATTGTTGGAGTACACACACAAAGCTCGTACATCACTACAAGGATGCCAGTACGCGCAACAGAGAATGGTGAAAGCAGGTGTCCTGTCCACACTCCACTATCTTGAGGGTGCATATTGTTGGAGTACACACACAAAGCTCGTACATCACTACAAGGATGCCAGTACGCGCAACAGAGAATGGTGAAAGCAGGTGTCCTGTCCACACTCCACTATCTTGAGGGTGCATATTGTTGGAGTACACACACAAAGCTCGTACATCACTACAAGGATGCCAGTACGCGCAACAGAGAATGGTGAAAGCAGGTGTCCTGTCCACACCAGGCCCTCAGATTCACTTTAAGGGTCGTATACCCATCAGTATCCCCTTGTGTGTAAACACTGATTGACAGTGTTACCAAGAAAAAAAGGCTGAAATGACAGTGTTGTCCTAATTTCGAGTCTGATCCATCAGGGTTTCAAAATTAAAAAAACTGTAGCTATTAAACGTCCTGGTTTTAAGCACAGGAAGACAGTAGCTTCCTTCCTACCTAGAACAGACTAGCTGCTCTTATCTAATAGGGGTCATGCGTCCTTCAGCATCGGAATCAAAGTCTTCATCATCACTCCCCTGCACCTTGGGTTCTTCCCACTCCTCAAGTGCCTCCTTTCCCTTGCCACTTCCCTCCCCCTCTCTTGCTGCAGGTGTTGCTGCTGCTGTTGCTGCTGCCACATTTCCAAATGGCCAACGCTTCTTGTAGCTGCGCCAGATGTTCACCAGTTCGTTGTAGTCGGGCTCGTAGTCGAGGAGCGACATTGTGACGAGATCTTCAAGCCGTGCGTCTTTGAGGCTCCCACGCTGCCATGACTTGATGATATTCTGGCGGGAAAACCCGCGCTCACATTCCACTGTGCTCAGCGGAAGCACTGCGACTGCCACCCAGAGATGCACGAGGTTGGGGTAGCTAGTCGTCCAGTCACTTGTCTTCAGCATCGCTGTTAGACCGGCGTGGAAGCTTCGCTCGTTCTTCGGGGCACCTGCGAGGATGGGGCAGAAGGCACGCAGTTCTTTGATCGCCCGCCGTTTGTCGATCCCTGCCACACAACACAGAAGGGGGTTTGTCAGTTAGCTTGGATGGCGTGGCATGGTATACCCGTGTACAGAAAGCACTGCTGAACCATATTATCAAAGAAACATAATGGACAACACGGGTTTAGCTTAAGCGTGTACCTGGAAGGATGTGATCACTCTCCTGTGCCCTGAACAGCGAGACGAGTGATATGAGCCACTCGAGACACTGTTTGTGGCGCTCCGTGTCAAACATTATATATGTTATGCTTGTGTAGGCTACAGTGGGTTAGCCTATAGGGGGTACACAATTCTAGGGTTTCCTACTTGTACTCGTTTTCACTGCTAGTTCATTCATTCCTGTTCGCTTATTCTCACATGGTATAGAGCGGGTCCTTCTACGGACCGTTTTTTTTTGGCCCACCGAAGCGCCCCCCGAGGCGCGATCTTTTTTTTTTAGCGACCCCTCGGGTCGCCATTTCCCCTGCGGCCCCGCCGCCTTCACTGACGCGGCCCCGCCGCCCTCTCTGTCGCGGCCCCGCCGCCTGCTCTCACGCGGCCCCGTCCCGGCTCCTTCGCGGCCCCGCTGCCTGCTCTCGCGCGGCCCCGCCCCGGCTTCTACGCGGCCCCGCCGACGGCTTTGTCGCGGCCCCGCCCAGGCCCTTACGCGGCTCCGCCGCCTGCTCTCACGCGGCCCCGCCCCAGCTCCTTCGCGGCCCCGCCGCCTGCTCTCGCGCGGCCCCGCCCCGGCTTCTACGCGGCCCCGCCCCGGCTTTCACGCGGCCCCGCCGACGGCTTGTCGCGGCCCCGCCCAGGCCCTTACGCGGCTCCGCCGCCTGCTCTCACGCGGCCCCGCCCCGGCTCCTTCGCGGCCCCGCCGCCTGCTCTCGCGCGGCCCCGCCCCGGCTTCTACGCGGCCCCGCCCCGGCTTTCACGCGGCCCCGCCGACGACTCTGTCGCGGCCCCGCCCAGGCCCTTACGCGGCCCCGCCGCCTGCCCCCGTCGCGGCCCGGTCACCTCCTGACGGCCCCGCCGTCCCTTCGTGACGGCCCCGCCGTCCCTTCCTGACGGCCCCGCCGTCCCCTCCTGACGGCTCTTGCCGTCCCCTTCTACCGGCCCCGCAAATGCACCTGCTGGCCCCGCCGCTGCACCTACCGGCTCCCACCACCCACCCCCCCCTTTTCCCGTCGCCTGTCGAGGCGACCTGAGGGGGGCCCAGCAGAGGGGTGGCAGGTGTGTGGCCTCCCCTGCTTCTCCTCCTCCTTCATCTCCCACTGCAGCAGCCGAGCCGCCCCACCGCCGAGCCGCCCTGCACCCGAGCCGCCCAGCAGCCGAGCCGCCCTGCCGCCGAGCCACCGGGTCGCTGAGCTGCTGAGCTGCAGTTGCTGCCGAGCCGCCCTGCCGCCGAGCCGCCGAGTCACCGAGCTGCTGAGCTGCAGTTGCTGCCGAGCCGCCTTGCCGCCGAGCCGCCCGAGTCGCCCGAGCCGCCGAGCCGCCGAGCTGCCGAGCCGCTGAGTCGCCGAGCCTACTCTTCCCACCACTGGTGAGCTCTTGCCCTGCTAGCACGCTGCGCGTCGCCTGCTTGCCTGCCTGCCTGCCTTTTGGCTTGCCTGGCTGCCTGCCTCCCTGCTGCTAGTCCTGCTCCTGCTTCTACTTGCGGAGCCAAATGCAGCCCCAGCGACGCCGGCGTGAGTCCCTCACGCCCCAGCAGCTGCGTGAGTGGTACGCTGGTTGGGGCTGTAGGGGTGGCGACGCTACTCCTACTACCACTCCTGCTGCTTCTACTCGTGGTGGCGACCAGATGCAGCTCCCGCGACCCTCTCGCGTGTCTCTCACGCCTCGCCAGCTTCGTGAGTGGTACGCTCAGAGTGGAGGGTCTCTCAGTGCTGTTCGCTGCTCTTACGTGATTCGCACTGGTACTCGGACTGGTCAGCCTTGTGGGACACGTAGTCATACACCGTCCCGCTGCTTCGCCCGTCTGAGCGACGCCTGGCGTACCGTGTTTGGCGACGAGGCTGAGCTTCCCGACTGGGTGGAGTTGCTTAGGCAGAGGGTAGATATATATGCTCTTGACTATGATGCTATTCTCACTGCCATGTATGCATTGCCTACTAGTGCTGACCGTGCCGGTCACCTGTGCGTCCCGCCTGACCCAGGTATAGGACCTGCTGCTCTAGCTACTGGTGAGGCTGCTGCTCTGGGTGCTAGTGAGTCTCCTGCTCCAGGTACAGGTGCGGCTGCTGCTCTAGGTGGTAGTGAGTCTGCTTCCTCAGGTGCGGGTGAGGCTGCGCTCTCAGGTACCGCGTTGGCTTCGGCCTCCCTCACCTTTACACTTGACTCTGGGGCTTCTCGCTCCTTCTTTCGGGACCGCACCACACTCACGCCGCTTGGTCGGCCGGTTGCAGTCTCCCTGGCTGACCCCTCTGGGGGTCCTGTCCTCGCTCACTTCTCCACTGTCCTCCCGTGTCCGGCTGCCCCCTCGGGCACCCTGTCTGGCCTGTACCTCCCCTCGTTCTCGACGAACTTGGTGAGTGGTGCAGACCTACAGGATGCGGGGGTTCACCAGTTCACTCCTGCGAGTCAGCGGGTGACCCACTGCACGGACGCACGCACAGGCCGGCACCTGGCCACGTTCTCGCGTCGGCCGGGGTCGAGCCTCTACACCCTGA